ACATTTTGTCATTTTCTCCTTCCTGTTGCAGCTGACCATCTCCATTGACAATAAAAGCATTTGGTAAATTGCTGGTTTTGGCACCCCATTACTTGTCTCAGTGCTTTCACCAGCTCTGAGCTTCAACTCCACCTTCCAGATTTGCATCGTGTCAATTCCCTTTTCCATCATCTGAGTCACTGTTTTCCTGTCCACATTAAAGATTGATGTTTTGGGTTAATGTGAGTGCTGTAGCTGCATCCTAGGACGTGGCCATGCCCTCATGCATCTTCCCTTTTCTCATGGCATATTAGTGAAAACTTTTGCTTTCTGTTATCATAGGGTTTAGTTTTGGGGCAATTTAAGAGATGTGCTAGGAACATGAAACAGAGGCCTGGGTACAAAGAGGTTAAATGCTTCTTGCAAGTGCCGCTACTGGTAGATGCAGTCAGCAGCCTCAAAAGCCCTGGCAGATAGGAAGTGTCAAATCCCCAATTTTAACAGAATAAATGGCCTTATCCAGTGCAGAACTTCTGGAGTGCATGGGAAAAGCACAGCACACACATTGATGTGGCTTCTGCTGTGAGAGGGAATATTGCTGCTCACAAGAAGTAGATGGATTGCAGCATTCCAAGTCCTCAGCTTGCTATGTGAAATTGCTCTACCACTGCAGCTCCCAAGTGCAGGTCTCCAGTTACTTACCAGTGATGCTTTGCTGGGCAGACAGAAGCTTTCTTGGAGGGCTGTCCAAGAACAAAACCCCTTAAACTCCTTAAAGCAGAGGATGCCTGAAAACTGGCCTCTCTGGAGAAGCTTGGAGGGAAGGTACCATGGAAGCAAGTTCAGTGTCTTGGAGCACTGGTTACCCAGCCCAGCCCCAGTACTGAATGCTCTCCTGTGTAATACCACCTCAGCCTCCTGTATAGACTGCAGCTTGGCATCTACTTCAGGTTTTACCCTAAGTTGGCACAAGCTCCTTTGTACACTTGCAGTGGGTAAGTGCACTGTCCTAGAGGAAATGGAAGGGTGAAACCCTACATGCTTCTCTGGGTGCTTCATTTCCCTGGGCCAGCCACCCACTGCATTAAAGGTGACAGGTTTGCATTCCTCAGATGCCACCACACCAAAGCGCACGCTGCACATTGACGTCGTTTTGAGCCCAGAAACCTCCTGTTTGCCTTCTCTTCTTCGTAAATCCCGAAATCCTCCTGTCAGGCTTGGCAGTGGGGGGCTGAGTTCAAACCAGGTTTGCTGACCTGACTTAAAACATGGCTTTAAACAGAGTTTGGAAGGCGCTGCTGAGTCCTTTGAAGAGAGAACAGCGTGGCAGCTCCCACCAGCAGTTGCATCAAGTGAAACCAGGCAAGATTTATAGTGCGAGGTTGGACCTTTTATTAAGCCAGCTAATAAAGTCATACATTTATCCCTATGGAATATTTGTCTGTGCCCAGGCTGCTGCTGTTATTTCATAGAATCCCAGCCTGGTTTGGGTTGGAAGGGACCTTAAAGCTCATCCAGCTCCAACCCCTGCTATGGGCAGGGACACCTTCCATTAGAGCAGCTTGCTCCAAGCCCCTGCATCCAACCTGGCCTTGAGCACTGCCAGGGATGGGGCAGCCACAGCTTCTCTGGGTGTTCCAGTGCCTCAGCACCCTGATGGGTGCTGTAACCAGTGCCCAGTGACTGGTCTGGGTTAAAAAAGATAACTGGTGATGTGATTTACACCATGGCTTCACAGCTCAGGGATTGGTGAGTGTGAGGGTGGGAGTTCCCTAACTCTGGGCACTAAAGCCAACGTGGTATTTATGTATCTGAAGTGTGTTGGGTTTAGTGTTCAGAAAAGGGAGTGTTTTCAGGATGTAAGTTGCAACAGGCCAGCATACAGAGCCTAAGGTGTGGTGGCAGTTTTGTGGTGCTAAAAAAGTCACTCACTTCTGATGTAAAATGGTTATAGCTGAGTGAGAAACAGCTCTGGGAGTTTGATTCACTGGCTCTCCCAAAGGAAAACCCCAATGGACCATGACTCAAACCCAGGAAGAATGAGCTGAGTTACCTTGAACTGTTCTGATTAGTTGTGTATAAGTGCGTGTGTGGGGACTGTGTGAGGAGGAGCGTGCTCCCAGTAGCTGGGAAGGGGAAGCAAGTAACTGCCTCTTTGATCCCAACACCAGTCCAGTTAGGGAATCACTGATGGTTTGTGACTTTCCAGCCTTTCCAGCTCCAACCCACTTATCACTTAGTGTGCACCTTGGTCTCCACACCCCAATCTACTGTGTATATTTGGTTCTGGTTTATGGTTCTCTAACCACTCCTAACCAGGCCTGTATCTTACAGTCTAAGAGCTGCTGTCATGGCCTAGCTCATAACTGGTAGTGAGACGTGACAAAACATCAGTTCAGACTGGTGATGATCCAGAGGTGTTGGACTCGAGGTGAAGTTGGAACATTCCAGCCCTTTACCCTCTTTGGTCACTGTGACTTAGCACAGCTGTAAAAGTGCCCTTAAAGATTAACAAGGAGAACTGAACCATTTTATAACCTGCCTGAGCTTTAGCAGGCTCATCTTTCCATGTGGGAAATGCGCCCATATTGTTGGAATCACCTTCTAAAACCACTGGATGTTCTCAGTACCTCACTAACTGCGAAGAACCGATGCTGTTCCTCCTCCTCAGCCCCTCCTTGGACTTCTCTCTCCACACCAAACCCTCTGTAGGAGCCCCGTGTTTGAATGGTGTCAGTGCAGTGAGGGGATGGCTGTTGTTCAGAAGTGGCTGTAACAGAGCCATGTCCCACACTGGTGGCAGGCTCACTGCTCCTGTAATAAACCTACATCCATTTAGTGCACATCACTGACATCTGCTACTTTATGTTAAATTCTCCAACCAGATCAAGGGCAAGGAAGCAAGAAGATGAAAGAAGGGGAAAGGAAGCCAGGAGAGGCGGGCAGGAAGGAAGCGAAACAAGAGATGGTTCTGAGCAGGGTAGCAGAATAGAGCTGTCACACTTAGAAGGATGAGCATTACTCATTCAGATGGAGAGAGAAGGAAGATGGGTTTGTCTTCTGGGCATTTAAGACTTATATGCTTAGACTTTTCTCCTTGTTTATAACTCAGTGTTGGTACTAGATCTAAGTACCAGATACACAGATAATCCTTGCAAATGTATTATTCCTTTTGTAGCTGGTTGCTAACACAAGTTCTCTGCACTTCTGATGCGCCAAGGAGCTGCTGCAGCAACTGGGAATTCAGAAGGAAGGGTATCCCAAGGCCAGTTTGGAATATGCTGTTTAAGATTTTACCATAGGGTTTTGCTCTGAGATCAATGAAATATGCTTTTCATTTGATTCATGCCGCAGAACAAACAGGCTGGATCTTCAGCTGCCTCTTGAGGTTGATGTATTTTATTTCACCAAAGGGAGTGTTTTCCTTGTTCTTAACTTGTTCCTCTGCAGGAGTCTGAAAGTGCATTTTAAATCCAAATGGGCCCTTATAGTTTCAGTCAGACTTCACATGTATTAACTCCTGGTTAATCTATTCTTTTCAAGGGATGTTTTTCCTCTGAAAGGGTTTGCAGTATCAAAAGTGAAATCGTAGGAGCCAGAATCAGCCAAGTGATGTCTGTAGAACAAGGGTAGACTCTGACAGCTGCCATTTAAATCTGTGCTCACACTCGGGAGATTTGGGTGAGTTGTTCCAAACTTGCAGTGCTCTTTGTATCTGCAAAGCTCCATTTGCAAGCGTGGTGTGTGCCTGTGTACGTGTAAGGGAAAGGAGAAGGATGATGTGAAGCAGTTGGCTGACTCCTGGGTATAATCACATCCAGCTCTGTTGCTGATGTTTAACCACCAGCTTTCCTGAGATGGTATTTCTCTAGCATGTTAGTTGTGGGAGTCGTGTGGAACACAGGAGACTCCTCATGGCAGCTTGGCAGGGGGCTTAAGAAGGTTGAAACCTGATGGCTTTTGTTTCCTTTACAGGGAAATAAGCCAGAAATAACTGGAGGAGACCCAGGAGCTGCTTCTCCTTGTTGGGAGATGCTCTGCTTTCTGCAAGTAGAGACAACCTTGGTGACAGCAGAGGTTCCAGGCAGGGGCAGGGCATGTCTGGACAGAGCTTGGCACCGTGTTGCAGAGGGAGGGAGCTGTGGATCAGCTTCATCCTCCTCAAATCAGAGGCATTTAGTTCTCAGAAGCTGCAGCAGCCTTCAGACTTGCAGACAGTGTGAGGTGCACGCTCCCTTCTCCTCCTTCAGCACACAAAGCATGTTTGCTCCCTCCAGAAGGCGGTTATGTATTTTTCAGGAGAAAGCAGTTGCCCTCCTTGTCTTATTCATCACATATATCAAATCAATTTGTGTGTATTTGATTTAAACTTCCCTTGGAGGCTTATAATCCAGTGTGTTTTGGAAGGAATGTTCAATAACTTCTCATCCTAGTCCAAAACCAGTTAATAAAAGCAGCTTTAGGCAACCAGTACCTGCACTACAGCAGCAAAGCAGAGCTCCTGGCAACTGTTATTTTATGTTTACCAGCTTGAACTCTGCCCTCAGCAGATTCATGCTGTAGTTTCTCTAAAGCTTTTCTGCTATGAAATACCTTCTCTGGGAGCTTTGCCTGCTCCTGCACGCTTGGAAGTGCACCCAACCCTAATGTCTTTTCCACTTGAAGGAATCATTCAGCAAAATCTGTCAGGTTTAAGAACCATTCCTGGGCCCAGAAAATACAAATAAAGGGGTTTTTACACAGCTGATAGCTTCAGAAAGCCTTTTTTAGTATTTTTTGTTTCCTTAAACTGTGTTTTCAGGGGGCAGCAGCAGAAATATGAAGGATGCTGTTAGTGGGGCGATGGTTAGAGTCGATCTTAAAGGTCTTTCCCAACTTGTTTGATTCTGTGATAAACTGCAAAGCTAAAATGTGTTTTGGAAATGACATGTGTCATTGCATTTCTGTAGAGATATTCCATTGCACAATGTGTGGATCCTAGAAAACGCTGACCTGAGTGGATTTGCCTGGATTTTCTTCATGGATTCCTATCATCATGAAGGCCCTTGTGCTTTCAGAGATGAAAATGACTCCTCTCCTCTTTGTTCCAGGATACCCGTGCTCTCTCGTACGTGGCAAGAGCTCCAGCAGAGCGGTGGAAAGATGGGTGTGAAAACCTTCACTCACAACTCCCCTGCGCACAGCCAGGAGATGCTGGGCAAGCTCAACATGCTCCGCAACGACGGCCACTTCTGCGACATCACCATCCGCGTCCAGGACAAGATCTTCCGCGCTCACAAGGTGGTTTTGGCGGCCTGCAGTGATTTCTTCCGTTCCAAACTCGTTGGCCAAGCAGAAGATGAGAGCAAGAGCGTGTTAGACCTGCACCACGTGACGGTCACTGGATTTATCCCTCTCCTGGAATACGCTTACACAGCAACGCTGTCTATTAACACGGAAAACATCATCGACGTGTTGGCCGCGGCCAGCTACATGCAGATGTTCAGCGTGGCTAGCACGTGCTCCGAGTTCATGAAGTCCAGCATTCTCTGGAATACTCCCAACAGCCAGCAGGAGAAGGTGCTGGATGCAGGGCAGGAGAACAGTGCAAACTGCAATTTCACCTCTCGGGATGGCAGCCTTTCTCCTGTGTCCTCCGAGTGCAGCGTGGTGGAAAGGACCATCCCCGTGTGCCGCGAGTCGCGGAGGAAGCGCAAAAGCTACATCGTGATGTCCCCAGAGAGCCCCATTAAGTGTAACACACAAACAAGTTCCCCCCAAGTGCTGAACCCTTCAACTTCCTACCCGGAGTCCAGAAATCAGCCTGTGGACTCATCCCTAGCTTTCCCCTGGACTTTTCCTTTTGGAATTGATCGAAGACTCCAGTCTGAGAAGGTGAAGCAGGCGGAGAACTCGAGGACTTTGGAAATGCCTGGGCCCTCCGAGGCCAACAGGAGAATTACAGATTATGTGACTTGTGAGAGCACAAAAGCCAGTTCTCCCCTGGTCATTGAGGAAGACGTGCGTGTCAAAGTGGAAAGGTTAAGTGATGAGGAGGTTCATGAGGAAGTATCACAGCCTGTTAGCGCATCCCAGAGCTCCCTAAGCGATCAACAGACAGTCCCAGGAAGTGAACAAGTGCAGGAGGATCTTCTGATCAGCCCACAGTCTTCCTCTATAGGTATGAGCATCTCTGAGGTTGTGTACAAATAGGCATATGTGCACTTAATAACCCTGCTTTGTATTCCTTTTCCTGCTTTACATTTGGGAAACTGCCTGTTTTTTTCCTGGTTTATGGAATGTTACATGTAAACCCTGATGTGGGAATGGGATTTGGAGCTCTAACTTTGCAGAAGACATCTATGAAAGGGAAGCCTGTTGATAGATCTTATTCAGTAGAGATTGAGAACCCCTTCTCACCTCTAGTTGGTCAACTGGGGAAAATGATTCTGGTTTTAATTGTATCAAACTGGGGACTGTAGCAATAGGACAAGGAGTGATGGGTTTAAACTTAAACAGGGGAGATTCAGGTTAGATGTAAGGAAGAAGTTCTTTACTGTAAACTGGGCGCCCAGAGAAGTTGTGGCTGCCCCATCCCTGGCACTGTTCAAGGACAGGGCACGGAGCAAGCTGCTCTAGTGAGAGATATCCCTGCCCCTGGCAGGGGTTTGGAACTGGCTGAGCTTTAAGGTCCCTTCCAACCCAAACCAGGCTGGGATTCTAAAAGGCATGATCTCAACAGAGCTGCCACACCAGATCTGAGAGACGTGGGGGTGTAGCCACAGAGGGATAGAATGGGACATGAAATCTGGTCTAATCATGACAGCGAGAGCCTTTGTAAGAAGATTTGCAGAGTTGAGTGATGGAACACTGTCATCTTAATGCCCCAGACAGGAGCAAAACCACAGTCTTAATACTGAGAATCTTTCCATTTCTGTGGGATTTGGGTCTCGAGTTGCGTCTTCAAATACTGCCAAGTGCTGAGAGAAACCTTTTTTTTTCCATGAAAGACGATTTGAAGCCAGTTTTGGGTTCTTCCAGCTGTGTATTAATAGCTAATACTTCAAGGATACTGTAACAGCCCCTTCCTTTCCTCTGCACTGCATGCATTGAATGGTCTTTAGGAAGTCAGAAGTTTTGCACTATTTCTAGTTTAATTACCCAGATTTGGCCCAAATCAGCTCTTCTGCTTTCAGTTCAGTGGCTTGACCTGTGCTTGGTAGTTTGTGTGCTCTGAGATGTTCAATAAAGCCTGGTTTGTTTGAAGAGGACAAGAATGGCACATATACTAGTGTGCTTCATTTGAATAATGTGTACATGAAAGGCTGCTTCAGTTAGGTACATAAATAAAGGACAACAAAGCACGTCAATACAGCCTATGTTATTATATGTTTAGTGTGGTCAGCATAACACTGGGCCTGCTCTAAAGGAGCTAAATCCATCAGTGTGACTATTGCAGGGTTGCAGTATAGAATCAGTGGTGGTAAACTAGTCACTAAAAAGTAATGCATGTATTTTCTATTCAGGACTTTCTGGTGTTGGGTTTGTTCCTCAGTTTGTATAGCTCACGTGTTGGTATTTTAGATGGAAAATGTTTTATTTGCTGGAGATAAGGCTCTTTCTTTCTGCCAAGCAAACTTAGTATCAGTTTAAATATAACTCCTGAAGTAGGTTGCCAAAATAGTACAGAGATTAAAAACTCTGCTGGGAAGTCTCCAGGAAAAGTGGTCCTTGGTCAAGAATAGGTTTTAACCCCTTAGAGCTGGAACTTTGAAAGGGCCTGAGATGATTCCAGTCGACAAGTGACTCTGCACATCACATCTGAACTCAACAGGCGTCTGTTTTGAGGGCACGTGTTGCTTGGGATAAAGTTTTCCATCTTCTTTTTCCTATTCTGCTCTCCTGAGACCCCACTTGCAGCACTGGGTGCAGTTCTGGTGTCCTCAGCATCAGAAGGACACGGAGCTGTTGGAGCAAGGCCAGAGGAGGCCACAGGGATGAGCAGGGGCTGGAGCAGCTCCCATATGGAGACAAGCTGAGAACATTGGGGCTGTTCAGCCTGGAGAGGCGCTGGCACAGGGTGCCCAGGGAAGCTGTGGCTGCCCCATCCCTGGCAGTGCTCAAGGCCAGGTTGGACACAGGGGCTTGGAGCAACCTGCTCTAGTGGAAGACATCCCTGCCTATGGCCATGGAACTGATGAGCTTTAAGGTCCCTTCCAACACAAACCAGTCTGGGTTCTGTGTTTCTGTGACTGTAGATTTTATACCATCATGATCACATACCTGACCACTTGTATGGCACAGGGCAGAGGATCTTGGCTCTAGTGATGATAATGTTTAAACCTAAATCTGTTATTTGAGCATGTTATTACACCATATTCCCCCTTAGAATGGCAGCAGAGAGAAGTAATGTGTTGGGCCAAAGTCTCCAAAGTACAAATCTGGTTTTGTCTTTGTCTTTGTTTGAATTCATATTTAATGGTCTCTGCATAACACTGTTAACCATCCTCAGCTTAGTTTTTATTCACATTTAGCTACAAAGAGAAAAAAGTCTCTTACTTATTAGCACAGTTCTTATGTACCTAATATATGATGTAGCCAGAAAGCACTTTTTACCTCCCAAAGATGTATTTCCTTATGCAGCAATAGAAGAACAGTAAATGCAGGCAGCAAGATACATTCAAGTACAGCTTTCTCTTCCCTGAACATATTTTCCTCCTATAATAGCATATATTTATCTCAGTGTTTTATGGTGCATTTAGAAAAGCATTCCTGCCTCTCCTTCTGATGGTACAGAAAGCTCTTATTCACAATTTGGGCCATTTCAAGGATTGTTCATTTGCAATTTATTCTGTTTGGAAGCACTTTCTAAGATGGAAGGAGACATGAAGCAAGGCCCTGATAAATAAGGCATTGTGGTTACAACAATAGATATGTCTGAGAAGAGATTTTCCTAACTCATTAACACTGCTTCCATTTGAGAAGGGAAGGCATGAAATTAATCCTAAGAGCAATTTGGTGTGTTTTTCAGTGAAGTATTGCGAGAGCAAGAAGTGTAAAGCAGAATGGGATTGGCTTTTGTAACGTTACAGATTGCATAGGTGCTCAGTTCCCCAGATACAGTTTGTTAGCTCATTCCAGAATTAATGCCCTTTAGAGGGACAGCTCTTTGGGAGTCTGTACCACTTCTCTGGGCACCCTGTGCCAGCGCTCAGCACCCTCACAGGGAAGAGCTTCTGCCTTAGATCTAACCTATCTTCTGTTTCAGTTTGAACCCATCACCCCTTGCCCTATCACTCCAGTCCCTGATGCACAGTCCCTCTCCAGCATCCTTGTAGCCCCCTTCAGACACTGGAAGCTGCTCTGAGGTCTCCACGCAGCTTCTCTTCTCCAGCCTGAACAGCCCCAGTGTTCTCAGCCTGGCTCCATACAGGAGCTGCTCCAGCCCCTGAGCATCCTCATGGCCTCCTCTGGCCGTGCTCCAACAGCTCCATGTCCTTCTGATGCTGAGGACACCAGCACTGCACTCAGTGCTGCAAATGGGCTCTCACCAGAGCAGAGAGGATCACCTCACGCTGCTTTTGATGCAGCCCAGAGGATTCTTTTCCTTTAGGGGTATGATTGCAAGGGTGGGTAGCAGTTCTCAGCATTGTTTTAGCACTGTACTGCCAACTTCCCTCCCTGTTGTGGTGGCATCAGGCCAAACCAGCCTTGCTTGATACACCTAAACAAGGAGGCCCATCTGAGCCACAGCCACTTCAGCTCAATGAGGTAGCTTTGATTTAGTGCTGCATTTACCTTAGGTTCCAAAAACCCACTTGAGCTGCCTTTGCTTGACTGTTGATGCCCTGAGCAAAGCCCTGGAGTGGTTTTGTGTGTGCATTTCTCTTACAAACACATGTTTGGTCTCTTTTGTGTTGCATTTCTAATGTCTCATGGGGCTCTTTCTAAGCATCTTATCAATAAATGAAGGCATTGTCAACAGGTACACGTATGGAAGGTCTGGAACACAGTGTAGTGTAGCAGGATTGAACATTATTGCTCAAGAAGCCTTGAATACTGATGAAATTCCTGCTTTACAGTGCTAGCAGTGGATGTGTTTGGAAAACTGTGGCTCTGTGTAACATAGCTTCTGTTCTAGGTGTGCCAGATACTTTCCCTTTGAGTTGTCCATGTCCTATATAATCCAGTGTGCCTTTGGAACGTGTTGCCTCTGGGTTTCCTAAATGATTTTCCAAGACAATTTTAGTATCTTACACCATTTGGGAAAACAAATGTGCCTTCACCTGCCCCTCTGCCCCTTTTTGAACACTTACTTGCATTGAATCCCCCTTTTTTCTTTGCCTAGGCTCAATAGATGAGGGCGTCACGGAGGGACTACCCACACTCCAAAGTACCTCCGGCACGAACGCTCACGCAGATGATGATGATCGGTATGTACCAGTGTGGTGTGCAAACTGTTCTGCTGTGCTCTAATTACCCTCTCCAGCCTTAATCCCACTATGTTTGGTTGTTCTACATCTACTTCTCGGCGGTGATCAAAGTACAGTCAGATGCTGTAGAAGAATGGAGGTGATGAAAGTCAGGATTTGCTTACTTGTTTTTCATTCCCTGTGAAGGAAGATAGTCATGTTTTCCCTTTATTGATTGATTAAAGCAAAATCTTCACTGTGAAACAAGTGTGGTAGTTGCATGGATGCTAAAGCTGACATAAAGCCTCAAAACCAAGTCCCTGGTCCTGGCTTTCCCAGACTTTGCTATTGCCATCAACCACACAAGAGACAGAACAGCCTTAACTCTTCTCTCCCAAGCTTTCTGCATGTAGCTTCTCACCAAGGTGCTGTGTGTCACTTGGTGTAAATATTTAGCAGTCTTTGGCTGGGCTGGGATGAGTGATTTATAAAGGGAATCCCTTATAAGGGAAGGCTGGCAGAGAAAACCAAACTAAAATGGGTCTGTTTGGTCCGAGATGTAGTTCTCTTACAGCCAATGTACCTGCAAACGTCACACAAGGCTGCACACCACCACTTTGAATGGATTGCTTTGCTTTGGTGGGATGGCCTATAGTTAATTACCCCCTTTCTAAGCAACAAACTAGCTTTAAATAGTGTTTTGTGAGCCAAGTGGGGCTGAGGAAGAAGTGGGAACCTTTGGGAGGCATCAAGTAAACCTCCCTGTTGAGAGAAGTACGAAGAGCTGCATTTTCCTAGCTCATCAGATCTTTCCTGCCATTTGCATCTGAAACCGGTCCCATTGCAGGATTAAATCTGAAAGGAACATAGAGGATTTAATCTATCTGCTAACAAACCACAGTGCAAAACCAATACCCAGCACTTAGGATTTGAATTGACAGCCGGAGCACACGTTGGCATTAGAACTAATCCACATTGTGAAAGCTATAGCTCTAAAGTCAAGTGGAATACGTGTTTTCAGCACTGGATTATTTCAGACATTTCCTAGGAAATTGCAGCGCTTCAGCACAGATCCCAGATACATAAAATCCTTTAAAAACACTGAAAATTCCCACTACAAGTCTCTTCCATGCAGAAGAGGAAAGAATATTTGCCCAGGTTTGAAAATAAAGAACAGAAGCATCAGCAAAACTGGCTGCAATTCGCATATAATTTATACAACAAGATAAGTCATATGGGAATTTTGTAATAAAAAAGTGGGAATTTATGGGAATTTCAGACTCTAGGCCTAATTTTTCCTGTGAAATGATTCATTTTATAGACTCAGCTGAAAGTGCCAAGACCTTCCTTACTCCATTTGAATGCACCTTTAGTTGAAGGGCAGGTTTTACGTTGTTTTATTAATAGAGATTCTCAGAATGTCCCAATCAGTTGTGGGTGGATGATGCACATCCGCATGGAAAACTGGATTTTTTAGTCAGGATGGATTATATTTCTTTTCATAAACCAAAGCAAAAGATGAGGCCATCTAAAGCTGTTCCTCTGTTAACATCCTTAGCACTGTGGAGACAACTGTAAGTATTTAAACACTGAAGATTGCTTCTCTCTTGTGTTAAATGTGCACATTAGGAATGGATCCTCCCCCTGAATCAGTGTTCCATGTAATAACAGGCACACAGCAATCTGTTAAGTATGAAAACTCCTGTTGCCCAGTGAAGGCTGTCTCTGATACTCCACATTTGCACTATAGTGCTCTGTTCTAACGCATCTGTAATTCAGCCTTGCCTGGCTTAACAGTCTGTGTTTCGAAAGGCTGCATTTAAACAGGAGCTCAGTTATGAAAGGTCTCTGTGATCCAATAGAATGAGAACCTCCACTTAGCTCAAATCATTGTTATTTACACCTAGAGAACACTTTTAGGCTCGCTGAGCATTTTGGGACTGCCGTTTGTCAGAGTTCACTTCAATATGTATACAGTCTCATGGTGAAAGGAAGAAAAGCTGGCAAGTGGAATAGCTTAGTGTCAGAGGGAAAACATTTTCAACCTATCTCTTTATCTGGCTCTTACAGAAAAGCTCTGAGAGGAAATGTCAAATGCCACAAGGCTCCCATTTGCAAGTCAGGTAAAATGGAGTATTTATGGGGAAAAAGAAGCAGGGGGGAGAGAAAACATGTTTGTGTTGCAGATGTAGCTCCTTCCTTCTGCTGAGGTCCACAGTTATGTCCCCAGTAACTATCTCAGCCTGCTTGCAGTGTGAGGATGGAGAGAGTCACAGCAGTCATTGGTAGCTGGAGAGCCTCATGATTCCCATTGTAAAAGCTCAGGAAGCTTCTGTGTAGGAGAAGAGCAAACTTCATCCTGCATTTCTTCTAGGGGATTGTCCCTGTAGCTCTTCTGTTTCTTGTGAAGAAGCTGAAGTCATTCTCCTCTGAGCACAGTGTGAATGATACACGTGTGTGTACATCGACGTACATCTATGAGTGGTTCTTAATACCTGGCCAGTCAATCCTTTCTGCCCCCTGCCTTCCACATAGCTGTGAACATTGGGATGGGGAATTCTCCACCCAGCTGAGGGCAAGGAAACCTTTTCCAAAGGGATTTGTCCCTTTGCCAGCCTGCATGAGATTTGGCAAGTGCCAGATGTTGTCCATCTTGGGCCCAAATCGCTTGGGGTGTTTGATCAGCAGGCTCTTATGGCAGCTGGAATTCCATGCCTTAGGGTCTTTTTGCGTCTTTTCTTTCCCTTTTCCTTTCCCATTTCCTTTCCCTTTTACTTTCCCCTTTCCCCTTTCCTTTCCTAAGGCAATTTGGGTAGCAGACTTGTCTGTCAGTCTGTGTTGATGGAGTTGTCATTGGTAAAGTGGGAAGTGTACAGGCATAGCAGCTCCAGAGACACAAGCTGCTGTTTCCACATCTGAGTAGGGTAAAATCTGTCCTTCCTCTAGTGAGCTGCTCCCAGAGAGGAACAGGAGTGCCTCAGACAAACCAGACCCTTCCTTTTAAAACCCCTTCACTTATTAAAGGTGCATTTGGGGAGCCCTCAGTTGGCTTTTGCAGGCACCTAAGTGGCAGTGAGCTGCATTCTGCCAGGCCCAGGATGTGAGCTCTAGCTTCCCTCTTGCAAACATTCCCTTTAGCAAAGATCAACAGTCCTGTCAGCATCTCTCTTCCCCACAGCTCCCTGGACCCTGCTGTGTATAAAAAGAAGTGAAGGACAATAAGATTTCTTCCTTAGAGCAAATATTATTCCAGTTCCAAGTGAGACCAGAGATCCTTCTGGGGTTTACAGGCTGATTGCTGCTAAGCTCCTTTTATCTGCTGTGTATCGAGAGGTACCTGGTGCTCTCTTCCTTTCCAGATACATTTTACAGCTGGAGCTTTTGCTGCAGAGCCCATTCACATGCTCAGAATTCAAATACCAGTTCTCCCAGTGGTATTGACATCTGTTTCCAGACAAACTGAAAGAGGTGATTCTTGTCCTCCTGGCCTGGTCTGTGCCTTTGTGTCTGCTGTGTAGGGAAATATCTTTGTGCAAAGTACACGTTTCATTCCTGTTAGTGGTAAAAGTCCCCAAATTCAGCCTGATCTTGAAACCAACAACCTGGGCTGGAGAGGAAAGGGGTCCAGCAGAAGGATTTGTTTAGTTAAGGGGACTTTCTGACTATATGCAACAGGAGACCCATCCCATTTCAGACCGTAGAGTTTAGTCAAACTAAACTGGAGTTGTTTTGCCTGTGGGATGTTCAGGCTCAGAGCAGTTCCCAGCTCCAGTGACATCTGATCTTCCATCAGGCTGGGAGCAAGCTGAAATGTAGTTCAACCCAAAATAGAGACCTTAATGCTCAGGAAAGGGAAACCCCAGGTAAGTCCAAACTCCTCTTGCTGTTATGTTTGAACCAGATTTGTTTTCACTGCACTGTGCCCTTTAGCGAAGCAAATTCCTTGCCAGAGGACTTGCATTATTCCAGGGTAGTTTTTGCAGCTCGAGGCTATGTAGGAGCAATTAGTCAGTTTGAGCTAAATTCCTTTGAAAGGTAAATTGTTCCTTTCTTGTGTGCTGGTATTAAATGCAGCTATTCTTGAGCTGTTCTCTTAGAGCTGATTGAATCAGACAGGGAGCAAGTATTAATCAATAGATGAATAGTTTCAACTTAGAAATATGTAATCCATTGAACTCAAGGGAAATGAAGCAGAATCGGCTTTAACTTCATCCATACGTATCACTGAAGCTGCAAAATACCCCTTTGCTTCTTCCCAGTCCTGAAACTCCTCCTCAGGGGCTCTTTGCTGATGGGAACTGGTCAAGATGCTTAAGAAAATGCCCCATGCCTGAAGTTCAGCTTGCAGTGGTGCTCAAAGGAGCACAAGTCAGAGGTTATTTCCCTGCCTGTGGCAGGGAGGTTGGGACTGGATGATCTTTAAGGTCCTTTCCAACCCATCCCAGTCTGTGATTCTGTTCTAGGGCTCTCTGGTATACAAAGCTGATGACTAAGAATTCAGATGCAGGTCCAGAGCAGTGTGATGTGCCAGCCTTTTTCTTCTCATCCAACTGTGTTCAAGGCTCACCTTTCCACTGGCTTATTCTTTCTCCCTCTAGCTTGCTTGTAAACGAGTGACTTTTCTCTTTGTAGTTTGGAGAACGTTCAGTATCCCTACCAACTCTACATTGCTCCTTCTACCAGCAGCACAGAGAGACCCAGCCCCAATGGTCCAGACAGACCTTTTCAGTGTCCAACCTGCGGGGTCCGCTTCACTCGCATTCAGAACTTAAAACAACACATGCTTATCCACTCAGGTAAGAAACCTTCCAAGAATTACTACTTTATAGACTCAGTAGAATGGAATAATGCAGTTCTGCTTTAATCCCCTGCCAAGTGCTTGAGGATTTCAGTTTCAGAGAGGTATGTCTCACTGAATGCTTGTTTGGATCCATCAAATCTGATAGTTCTGCTCATGGATGATGAGTGTTTGTGTGTGAAGAAAAGCTGATTGCCTGAAACTCATCAGAACAAGTCATTTCCATGAGAGTATACATGGCTTTTTCATACTCCTAAAGAAATTATATAGACTGAAATTCTTCCTCTTCCATGTTGTAATTGTCTGCTGTGTTCTAGAGGAGACTTGCAACCATAAGAATGCGTTGTCTTATGTCCTTGCATTGAAGAATGTTGTATGCCTTTGGATCTCAGAGGTTATGGAGGGTTTGCAGGGCAACTGATTTGGTTGGATCAGCAATTTAGCCCCTACAGATAGTACGTGTAACAAAAGGGTTGGGTGAATGCCTCCTCGGAGCTTTGATCCCCAAATGGTTGCATTCATACTGATTTCTAATCAAGTATGAACACCTAATGTCTTTGCTCTTGGTGTTTTTCACTTGTCAGCATTATCTGGCAGTAGCATTGAAATTGTAGTGAATGAATGGAACCTGGAAGGGTTATTGCACTGGAGCACTTGGTTTAGCACCTCCTGGTTTGAGCTTGACTCTGACCTGCACACAGATGCTGTAGCATTTTGGGGCAGAGCAAGCACAGTTGTCAAGAGGTGATTTTTTTCACTGTCAGCAATTATTCCTTCAGGCAAAACGACCATCCTGTGTTTAGGCCAGCAATAATAATATGAGTTCAACACTTTAAAACCCCAACTTTGTGTGTGTATCAGCTGTGAAATTATCCCTAGCTGCCTGCTCAAGTCTTAACTGACAGCAGAGACAGACAGCAAAGCATCTTTGGCCAGCCTATCAAGTAGGCAGAGTAGGAGAGATTTGGATGGCTGTTTCAGTGTAATCAGCATGCAAAAGAAACCCTCAAATCTGTTTCATGTTGGCAGTGTTTTCCCATAAGCAGAATGGCTGAAGAGATTTTCCTCCAGGAAATAGATGCCTTTGGATAGCCCAAGAGCATGACGGGGTTTAGCTCCACAAGACAATATCCTGGTGTATTAACTTGTTTTCATGTGCTTAACAAGGAGTTTGAGTGTAACCTTAACTACAGCTTTCTCTGTCTAAAAGCCCCAATTAATAGCTGAGCTCCTGCTTTGAACATAAGGAAAAGCAGAGTGGAATTAACAGCCTGGGCTGATGCACATTCAGGCTTTTGAATGAACCTTTCTCCTTCCTTGACAGCCCTATTATGAATAGAGCTCCAGATTGCAGATTCTTGGCCTCGTGGTTGGATTGCCCCACTTTGTGGAGCTCAGAGTTTTTATTCAGTCTTAACTTTTGGGTGCTACAGCCTTTTTATGTTGTAATACTTGTGTTGGGGGGGTGATTCCACGCTCTCGGCCACTGCCACATGTTGCAGAGCTCTCATGTTTAAGGGGTTTATTACTGTAATAAGTGCCAAATGAACCAGTTTCAGAGGCATGAACCTGAACTGTCCTGGAGAGCTGCGTGTCATGCAGAGCTGCCTGAAAAAGGTTGTCCAGAGAGGTTCCCACGCAACATAAAAGCTGCTCCTTCCCCCTTTTATCACCATTGCTGCTGCATGACAGGGGCATCCTTGTGCACACAGTCCCCCTGGCAGAGCACTTCTCTGAGGCCAAAGGCAGCCAGGAATAAAGCCCATTGCAATTAAGAGCAGGCTGATAATTGCATTGTTGGGAACCAGTCTGGCACAAGAATCTCCTGAGATCAAAGGACTTCAAAGGTGGTTTGAGATGACTGCTGCAGCAGATACTTTTTGGCTGTGGCTGAGGATTTTAAGCATGGTTTAAGCCAGGGAGGCTTTTGTTCGTGTTAAACTGTGGGGGAGAAAAGTGTGTTAGGGACAGGTCACACTGCTCTGAAATGCGTTGGCAGTTGGGTCAGGGGAAGTGGAGCTCTGTTCTATGTGTCCAGGGGAAATTCAGGTTGGATATAAGGAATACTTCCCTATGAGGATGGTGAGGTGTTGGCAGAGAGAAGCTGCCCCATCCCTGGCAGCGTTCAAAGCCGGCTTGGACGGGGCTTGGAGCAAGCTGCTCTAGTGGAAGGTGTCCCTGCCTATGCCCATGGAACTGGATGGAGCTTTAAGGTCCTTTCCAACCCAAACCATTCCATGATTCTCTGGTTCCTGCCATTTTTAAGTGAATTGCTTCCCAGATCAGCGCTTTGCTGTGCGCGGCTGCCCTCTTCCCATCGGGAATCTGGAAGGATGTTGCCCCTGAGCTCTCCTTCCAGGCTGTGACCCAGTGTTTCTTTGCTCTCTCCTCCACAGGCATTAAACCCTTTCAGTGCGACCGCTGTGGGAAAAAGTTCACCCGCGCTTACTCGCTCAAGATGCATCGCCTGAAGCACGAAGGTAAACGCTGTTTCCGGTGCCAGATATGTAGTGCCACTTTCACTTCCTTCGGGGAATATAAACACCACATGCGGGTTTCCCGGCACATTATCCGCAAGCCTCGGATTTACGAGTGCAAAACATGTGGCGCCATGTTCACCAACTCTGGGAATTTAATCGTTCACCTGAGGAGCTTGAACCATGAAGCGTCAGAGCTAGCAAACTACTTCCAGAGCAGGTGAGGTGCACAGCAAAAACCTACCAGGGAAACGTGCTTTTTCTCTTCTTTTCCTAAACCATCTTTTCCTGCTTGCAGGGCAGCCTGCTGTGCCTCTCCTCAGGCTGCCACCCAAAGCATTCTTGAGCCGCTCTCTGTTGTAGCTCCTGTCTTAACAGCGTCTGAGCTGTGGAGGAGGGCACTGAAGGCTGCTTTTGGGGTTACTTCATTTCTCTTTTCAGTAGTATCTCCGGACAGGCTGATGGTGTTCAACCAGAGCGTTACGTGGAGTGCAGTGAATGATTTGCTGCTCAAAACCTGGTCACTTACACAGGGAATAGACTTACGACTGTATTTTAAGCACTTGCTCCATGTGGAAAGGTTGCATGACTCCATGCCTTCTCTCTTTTCATTTTCTAGGTAACCTGTTACTAAATGATTAGACAAACAGGGTCTGAAATAGTGAGGGCCAGTTGTGCATTTCTTGCTTAGCAGGGCACAAAGGACTTGGCCTGACTCACAAATGCACTTCACTGAAGGGTTCTGAGGTTCAGCCAAGCACTGTGTTCCCATCTCCAAATAAATGTTTATAACTGTTGGAATTTGAGATAGGAGAACACAAAAGGGAACTCGGGGAAAGGTGGATTCTGCAGCTATTAAACCTATAGGGAGAGTGCAGCTTGGTGCCAGTCTTGAGCAGAGCAAGACAAATGTAACTGTCACGGCATCGACAGCACCGTCCCTCGTGGGTTCTACACACGATGCTTTTCCCCCTACAAAACACTGCAGCGTTTTGTTCTGTTTGGTTATGTCAGCAGTGATGTAACAGGAGAAAAATGGCAAAACAAAGCAGGAAAGCCAAGCAGTGTTTTTCCAACAGAAGATTGCTTAAAAGTCCAAGTGCTTCGGATCTGGGGCTTTACGCAGTTCTCGTTCTTAGCGCTTGTGCTAAAACTGGAGCCGTGGTTGTGGAAAGCGCTTGATTGTTGTCATCAAATGCAAGTCAGGTTAAAGAACGTGATTTTAGGGCCTGTAGGCCTCCCTTTAGTTTGAGGCTTAGAGCATAGTGAGTTGGGGTTTGAAGCTGCTGTCATTTAAGAACAGGACTGCTTTTAGATGGCTTAGTGCAAGGAGGAACCAAAGCAAACGTGCGTGTATGTAATACATACATACTTGCCTCAAGTGCAGGCTCACATGTCTGGTGCTGACATGTGAAAATACTACTGGGAGTTTGGTAGATTTTCTTTGGGTGCATCCATAGGAAGAGTGTGTTCCAGAAGTGGTGTCCAGAAAGGGCTGGAATGGGAAGGAACTGCGTGTGATGTGAGTCAGGAACACAAAGCACCACTGCAGGTGGCAGAACCCTCCCCTTCTGCTTGTGCACTGTGAGGGGAGTGCTACTGCTCTTATCTCAAAGGCCACATCTTTGCCAGTGCTGAACTCAGTTTTGTTTCTGCTTTGAAAAGCTCAGTGCTCCCTTTTCCCCAAGGAGGTTGTCATTGCCAGGTGATGTTCCAGACATTAGCTTTCCTTCTCAGCAAGGTGATACAACCTAACTAAGAAGAGGTTTGCCGTGTAGGAAATAGGGATGCAAAGTTAGATGCATTGAATACAGTCTGTGTGTGTTTAAATGGGAACCAGGGTATAGTGCTTAGTGAAGTATGTCACTGTGATGATCTCGGGGGCAATGTGAAATGAATATCCTTGTTCTCTGTGCAATGCTTTGTGTAGCTTGTGTGATATAAACTGCTGCCTCTGATGTTTGTGTGAGAAATGACATTTCTCTTCTGTCCTTTGCCCCTCTTCTAGTGACTTCCTAGTACCGGACTACTTAAACCAGGAACAAGAAGAGACCCTCGGGCAGTATGAGCTAGGGGAGCATGGCTTTGAAAGCAACTCTTCTGTCCAAATGCCTGTCATTTCACAGGTGTCATCAACTCAGAATTGTGAAAGCACTTTCCCCTTGGGGTCTCTGGGTGGGTTGGCAGAGAAGGAAGAAGATGTGCCAGAGCAGCCAAAGACTAACGCCACTGCTGAGGCAGCCGCAGGTGACCCTCCGAAACAGGAGCTGTCATCCATTACTATTGAATAAGTCATGGTTTGGTTTCATTTTTGTTCTTTGGAAAGTGCCTGTGTTTGGTCCTGTACATTTTAATTTAATTTTTATTATTTTTTTTTTTAAGAGAAGTGGGGAGATTTTTCCCTTTTTCCTTTGTAAGCTACGCTTTAAACCGAAAACTGCACCAGATGTTACGGTATTTGTCATGACTGAATGCTCACGTCTGTGAAAATGTTTAAGACTGATTGCACAAAAACAAGATCCTGTCAGAACACCATGGAAGCTGTGAGACACCTCTAAAGAAGAACAACCCATTCAGATCACTTTAGCTCTCTCTTCTTCCACAGTTAGAGCAGCTCACTGCGTTTCTCTTGCTGCTGCAGACCCTCTGGTGAGGGGAAAGGAATCAGAGGAAACCTGTTTAAAATGACAAGCATTGGGAAGCATTCCTGAACGGTTTGAACTAGTTCTGAGGGGATGCTTTAATCTCCTGTGTAAAAAATGACACTTCCTAGCTCTGTGCCTACTGTTTTTCAAAGCACTTACTGTAACCCTTCCCTCGGAAGCAGTAAGCCGTTTTGAAACACAGCCACACACATTGTCCCTTTTCCATGTGAAACGAATCCGTTTGGACAAACCCAGTGATGTCCTGCCAGGTATTCCTCCTTCTGGTATCCCAGTCCTCTTAGCAACTGCTTGATCAAACCACATTTACCCATCTAAGGTTAGGCAGGGAAAAAGCCTAATGGTGAGGAATGGATAGAGGCTAGAAAAACACATATCCATGCAAGCCTGACTGTATGGCTCTGTAGAAGGGGAACCACGTGTGGGAATGAAGGTTTTCCCAATAAATTCTTCAAAATCATGGCCAGATTGTCCTCAGGAAGCACATTCCTTCATGAGGAAGTGAAGCTCTGGTCGCTTCCACCTGTACTTTTGACTGATCTAACTAGAGGGAGTTTACAGCTGAGATGAGCTCTCTTGTGCATTATTGCACATCTTCTGTTTATCCATATGCATGTGTGGCTTCTGAGAGGTTTATCAGGCTTGTTTTGGACAAAACAAGCAGTTTATTCTCTTTAGAGGCCAACTTTCTAACCCGACAGGGGGTTGTTTACAAAAAGCCTATAGAGCAATGATGTTCCTGTTCCCAAGCGTTTGAAATCCTTGCCAAGTGGGTTTATTACAGGCCGTGACTCCAGCTCCGCACCCAGCTCAAGTAAGCAATAAATGGACAGATTTGCAGTTCCATTTTTTCCATAGGTAGAGAAAAAAAGGTGCAAATTGAGGCTGGGGGCTTTTCAGAGCAGGGGGGGTTGCTTTGGTGGGGCTCTAGGACTGCTTTGAAAGCAAAATACAAGAGGAGGTTGGTGATTTTCCTTCCTGCTTCTGAAGTGAACTCAGTGTTGGATGCCAAAATGCCTACCATTGTCTAAGTATTCCAAAGGCACGACATACTCCCTTCGTTTTGAATCTTGTGTTCTCTCTGGGTTTGGTTTGCACAGGCATGAGGAGGAAATGAACTCGATGGAGAAAGGTTGCCCCTGACAAAACAGAAGGCACAAAAACCATGTTATATTGCAAGTTAGATCTGTGTTCTGTTAGCTTAGGCAGCTCTGATACTCTGTGGCCCCGAGTTGGTTCTACTAATAGCCAACTTGGGCTAAGGAAGGTTTATTGCCCTTTGGAAAGAGCTTAAAGGGTTTCAGTGACTTCAGCAATTTTCCTCTGCTGTGTTTTAGGTAAAACCCACACATTTTAGTTAAACAGAGCAAAACCAGTTGGGTTTTAAGCCCTTTCCAAGTTACTGGAATGAAGTTTCTGCACCAAAGGGTGTTTTAGGAACATGCTGCAAAGTTCTCTGCTACAATCCAGTTGTGTGTGTCTACCTTTGTAAGTCTTCTTAAAAGGGCTTGAAGGAGAAACTCTCATTTGGGGATGCTGTACGGTGTCTGTTGATGGGATGAATAAAAGACCAGTTCTCTTCTTCCACTTCCAATTCCTGTCATTGAGAAACCAATGCCTTTTGCTGAGTTTTATCCTGAATTATAGGGCTATGACACTGAACTCAAATACATCATTTCTTTTTGTCCTGATAAGTGTTAACTCCACTTTGCAGGTCTATGGGAATCCTTTGTGATTCCTGTGGTTAAGAAGTACTTCACACACAAATGCATTTCCAGCCTGCACAGAGGCCCCAATCAAAGGTGGACATCATCTTCTGTCAGAATCTGGTAATTTCACCCTTTTAGGTGCTTTGCTAAACAGGGTGAGGAGTTGCACACAGTATGGACATACCTGGATTAAACTTTTGTATCAGAAGGCAAACTGCTTTCCCAATACCAAAGAGAAGGGGAGGGGGGGGAAGACTTTGTAGCTCTAACATGTTCTTCCTTGAAAAGAGAAGTTATCATTAACTGCTAACAGCTTGGCACAAGGCAAGCCATGGGTTTCATCTTCATTGCACTGAGTTACCATAGCATCCCAGGCTGGGCTGGGCTGGAAGGGACCTTAAAGCTCATCCAGTTCCAACCCCTTGTCATGGGCAGGGACACCTTCCAATAGAGCAGCTTGCTCCAAGCCCATGTGTCCAACCTGGCATTATCTTTTCAACCCTGTGGTCTCAGTTTAATTCTCACTTTTCAATCTGATTCAGCTGCAGGAACAAGAGAGTTTATCTGGTTTAGGCTTGGGTTCACTTGTTCGTATTCCTGTGTGTAATTGTTTCTTGTTAACAGCTCTTTTCTCCATTGAAGCAACCACACCTGAAATACAAATATCACTTTATTTCTCCTCCCTTAACTTGTTGGAAGTGCTCAGTCCTTTGAAATGCTGGTGTTCTTCACAGGAGAGATGTAAAACATAGGACATCTTAAACCGGTCCCCCTTTCTAATATGCTTAGATTCCAAATTGGGCGAGATGGAGATCTCACTAAGCTGGAAGAAACTTGCCTTAAACTACACTTGGGTTTAAACCTAAAGCATAAGTTTCTTTCAGCCTGTTACCAGAGGGGGTTGGACTCTGGACTGCTTTTTCTTCTTTTCTCTCCTTTCTTTTTCTTCTTTCCCTTTTGTTCTTTCTCTTGTTTTCTGTTTATTTTTTCTGGGGGTTTTCTTCCCCCCTCAAAAACCCCAACCATTATTCGATATGCATTCATATTTCTGCTTGCCAGGGATCCCAGAATGCCACAGGAGTTGAACTGGAAGGGACTTGGAGGGGATCTTCAATCCCTGCACTCCAAACAGAGTCAGCACAAGAGGTTGCTCAGTCCAGGCAGATAAGTATCAGCCAAAGTGGATGTTGCCCAGCTTCTCTAGGGAGCCTGTTCCTGTGTCTGGCCAACCTCACCCTCAAAAGGGGTCAGTATCTTTAGGTGGCATTGCTTGTATTGCAGCCTGCACCCACTGAGAAAGGCCTGGCTCCATCTTTGTCCCTTCCCATCCTTTGGTTCTGAACATTGCTAAGGCAGACAAACCAGATCACTCTCAGCCTCTATCCCTCCACTCCCTTCATCTTCTTTTAAGTTACAAGTGGTTTAGTTCCAAACAGCTCCACATGCGACCTGCTGCAGCCGTTTCTTTGTTGTTGAGTGGTCCCCAAATCCATCCACAGAGCGATTTCTGTCCTGCTTTTGCGTGTCCTTCTCCCACGTGGCACCAGTCTTTGCACTCGGTAGCGAACCCTTTCCTCCCCTGTTCATTTTGCAAGCAGAGTGCCTTCACTACACCAGAACTAGCAAGGTTCTGCCCTATGCCAGGGATCTGGATCCTCGGAGTCCGTGCAGGGTCTTTACTCCTTGTGTATCCTGTAGAGCAGTACATCTGATGGGAACAACGGGAAAGGAAGGGATAGGCTTTGTTCCTGATTTAATGTGGTGTTTTGGGAGAGGGGGGAAAACTCAGAAGCTTTTTCTTTCCCCACAAAGAGTGGAAGAAAAAGAAGCCACGTTTTAACTGTGCGAGAGGTTTGGCTGAGGCGTGAGGGTTTGGTTTGGTTTTCCATGCAGAGACTGGAAATCCATAGGGACACCTACACTTGTAGCCACTGAAGCTCCTGGCCAGAACTGCTTTTGTCACTGTTCTTAACACTGCATTAAACAAGACGTGTGTTGGAGTTTGAGTTCAGTTGTCAGGCTCGCAGATACTATGGTCAAGTCTCTCATAGTGAGAGATTAGTAAACTAAGTTATGGGAAATGGTTCTGGGTTCACATGTATCTTGAGTCAAAAAGGTGTGAATTTAGGCTTTTTAAAAGAAGTAATAGCTGCCAATGCAGTCAAATATATTTTGTAAGACTATGATCCCTATATGTCCCTTCTGGGATAAAATGTTCCTGTTTTTAAGCTATGGTTTCAAGTTTTTATATGAGGGCTTCAGTCGTTTCTTGGTTGCTGGCTTTCCCCTCCAGCCCCAGGACATAAGAGCACTGAGACTATTACTGGTCTCTCTCTGAGAGGAACCAGGAAGCATTTTATATGCAAATAGAAGGGGAGCTTTGTGCACCCTGCAGGGATGGAGAAACTGGGGCTGTAGGAGCGCCCGTTGCTCCTGCGTCCATTGCAACTTCCACACCGTCAGAATATGGGAAAATAGCTAATGTTCATTCAGATCCATTAAGTTGGAGTTTTGCTTCCGAGGTGAAGCCCGGTTTTGGAGGGTTCTCATCTCCAGTTATGGACATAATAAATTCCATAGCATCTCGATGGCAGGTAAGAGGGTTCAAGGCCGGATGGAACCTCATCCCCATCAGAGGTCCCTAAGAAATGGAGTCAGTTCCAAAGTATTGGAGGAAACGTACCATAAAAGAACCAAATGTGAATTACTTTAATGCAACAGTGCTACTGCTCTGGGTTTTTGTTAACTCAACGTGTGCTATCACAGTAATTCAGTGTCCCACAGGTCTCAACCACAACCCTGGTTGCACTAACAACAAAACTGAGCTCCTGGTGCTGTGTGGCAACTGTTAACCTACAGTCTTCCTGAGGGTTGTTGAAGTCCCCAGAGGAGTGATGTTGTTTCACCATTCCTTTAGCTGATGCATGCTTTTGATATCCTGACCTATAGCCCTGGCTACACCAAGTCCTTGGACAGCTTCTTCGCCCTGTTCCCGCAGTGCCTTCACTTTAAGGTGCTGCCCTATGGTGAAACCCCTAAGAGGGAAAAGAGGGAAAAAAGAAAACCAACACAAATGTGAATTAAATTATTGTTGGGCTTCTTTGTGCATTTTAGTACCAGTGAAACCCCCTTTAACTTGTGCCAGTCTCCAGTCACCAGCCGTATATCCCGTTGTCATCTCATCCCCAGTACAGCTTCTCTTGTTGATGCTGGCCACAGCTAGATTACTTGGCATGTTTATTGACTTCCCCGAGCTGGGGGTGTTCTTTTGGGTTTGGTTTTGTTTTTTTAATGTATACGATGTTTAAATAACACTTCACATTTTATAGACTCCTCTCTGGCTATTAGTATTTTTCAGGAACCATAGTTCTTGGTGGCTCTATCTATTTTTGTGACTTCTTTTGTAAACCAAGTGCCGTTTCAACGTTACAATCATTTTTAGAGTTCTTGTAACCAATGTGAATATCCTGGGTTTTCCAATCTGTTCTGAGCCTGTAGTGTTTGCTTTGTGATCATCTGTGTCATGTATATATTCTGTATAGTTACATTGTATTGAAATACTAGCTTGTTTGATATAAGAAAAGTATGTATTGGGTACCTTTTTGCTAGCCTGGTTGTTTAATCTTTAAAAAAAAAATGGTCTAAAATACAAAAAAAAAAAGCCAAACTGGTCCCATTATAGGTCAAAATTAAGGGGGGAGAAAAACTAGTTTTGAGTGTCTTTGGATAGAAACATGAAGCTAAGATTTTTCATTAAAATATTAATGTTTTATGGAGTATACCTTTGCTTCGTGTCGTTATTTCACCCCGGAGGCTGGCTCTAAGTGCAAAAGACCAGCTTTGACCTAGTGCTGGAGCTGTGTTCTCATACAGCTTTTGCTTGTAGTTAGTCTCCAAAGGGAGGAGTATGAGGAGGACTCACTGGTGCTGAAGCTGTCGTTGGGGAGGAAGGTGGCTTAAAGCAAAGGAAGCGTTAAGAAATGATTGGAGAAGTGACCTGAGTGAGGAGTATTAAGAATAAAGTCCACATTTCTGTTTAATTTTCCATGGTATGTCACATTTCCTTCTGTTAATGTTCTCTTCTAGGCAACAGCCATCTTTTAGTGATGGAAAGCCAGCCGAGAATGGGCCAAATCACATTAGGCAGAGCAGAAGATGGTTAATGAGGACAGTAGAGAGTCATCGCGATGGCAGCCGTGAGCTTCAGAATAGGCACAAAACATGGGACTTAAAACACACCTCTGGTGTTTCTGGTGACCCTCGCAGTTGATTTGCCTCCTCCACATCCACCTGTGTGTCCGAGCTGGGATGCTGTGGGGATCAACACATAGCTAGGGCACAGGTAGGAAAATGAGAGGTTGGTGATGCTTGGCTGAAATGATGGTAACTCTGCCCAGTGGCCTGTGTGGGTAACCAGCAGGCTGGCGTGATGGATGTGCTCCAGTAATAGAACCATAGAATCACAGAATGGTTTGGGTTGGAAAGGATGATCCAGTTCCAGCCCCCTCCCATGGGCACCTCACACACTAAGACCATGTCACCCAAGGCATTCACTGGGCAAGGGATGGGGCATTTGCTGCTGCTTTGAGCAGCCTGTTCCAATGCCTCAGCACCCTCACAGTAAAGAACTTCTTCCTTCTGTCTAATCTGACACAGGAATGAGAATGAAATGGGAAAAGTATTCTGTGGTGCAGAGGAAGTGGCCACTATTAACCTTGGATTGGGAATGGGGCAGGGAAAGGTGGTAAATTCTAAGTTATTTTCCTGAGGAGCGTGGCTGAAAGAGGGAATGTATTTGGTGAAGGCTTTGGAGAGAACGAAGGTTGAGATGGAAAAGCTTTAAGCCTTTTTGGTCTGTAAAGGCAAGGGTTTTGCTGCTTTGAAGACAGGCAGAGCCTGTTAGGAGCACGCAGTGATGCTTAGCAGAGCATTCCAAATGTGAAGCTGTGTGGCTGTATATGAACATACACTATCATCACCGCTGAGATTCATACCTTTGATGGAGTTTGAGCTTGAGGCTTCTGACTCGAGGGGGTTTTTGCAAAGCACAACCATATGGTTTAAGTTTAGTATGAAACATCTTTCAGACATCCTTAACAAAGCAAGGGAAGGTTTTTCTGTGGCTTCCTTATAGCACTGAAGCATTTCATTCCTTTTGCACAGAGGCTGACATTGAGCTCATAGCTACCGAGACTGTAGTAGAGCAGGGGACAGAGTTCTCCCAGGGCTTCCTGGTGACAATGAAGCTGCTAAGAGAAACCTGGCTTGGATTACATCTAAAGGGCTTTTCACAAGCTGCCTGTGCATGCTGCATCTCCAGGTACTGAGCTGATCTCTGCCATCATCTTAGAGCAGTGAGACCATGAGCGAGCAGAGCAGGGTAAGTGCGTGCATGGTAGAGCCTTGGTTACAGCTCAGGGATGTGTGGCTTCCATTCATCCTCAGTTTGGGGGTCTGGAGACACACACTTGGTGCAGGTTTACACCTCCTGCTCATAGCCCTGATGTTCTTAGTCACAAGTCCATTAGGAAGAGGCCACAGACACCCAGAGTGAAATGCGTGCCTTTGAAAACCACTCCAAAGGCTCCAGTTCACTGCCTTTGATCCTGAGTTGCCTTTGGCTCCATCACAAGGGCTCCTGCTGAAGATGAGAGCAACTCTTTGTGTTATCTCTCTTGAAGCTTTGCCTCTGATTGTTGAAGTTTGAGCTCTTCCATCCCAAGGTTGAAGTTAATCACATAAGAGAGGTGTTCACCCAACTCTACATACATTAGAGTGGCCGCACCACTATAACTGGCTCTTAGACACCCCCCCTCAATCCAACTGCAGAGATTTATGTGGCTAAACTGCATTCCCAGTTTTCATGTGCCTGCATAAACCTAAACCTTGCCTTTGTAATACATCATTTGGAAGGTAAGTGATTATCCTCACACAGTTCTGCTTGTTCGCCTGGACACGCACGTGCCCGCACGCACGCTATCTGTGTGCTCACTCCAAAGGAATTTTGGACAGCAACCATCCCAAAAACATCAATAGACCAACTCTTTCCTTGCTGCTTCCCTACTGGGGATGTCTTTTGGTACCTGGTATGCCTGTCTTTTGTATGGTTAATGCCCCTTTTAGGGAGTGGAAGGCACTGGGAATAGGAATTGGAAATGGATCACCTGAACCCTTTGGAGGCAGGGAAGACATCTCCCAGGTGAATACATCTCTGAGTCAAGAGGGGAATAACCAGAAGTGAGAGGAGCAAGGAAACTGTGATGTGTCTGTGGGCTGGTGGAGGAGGTGACTCTCACTTTAGGCTCCCTTTTGCATATGTGTAAGTGAAGAAGACATTGTTTGATGCAGGCACAAGGAGAAACGGTCCCGCAGGGTTTGGTGCTGCATCACCGAGGGCTTACAGTGCACTCACTTCCAAAGAGCCACATCAAGTATAACCCCAGTCCATTAAAGCATTTAACTGCCTTTCCAAAGATGTGTTTAAATGGCTCCTTAAGAGCCCAGCCACTTGGTGCAGTTTCCTTCTCTGCCTCAGCACAGGGCGCTTTATAGCCTGTGTAGTAGCGGGGTGCCCAGAACTGGTTGTGCATAAACAGAGCCTCGTGCTGCGTAAAACAACTGGAGAGCAAAGGCACCCAAGGCCAGGACTAATAGGCAACAGAGCTCCAAAAGCAAAACATCTCTTCAGGGTAGGGCTTCGTCTTCCCAAATGGAAACGAGGAGAACAACAAACCCCTTTTGTATAACCTCAGTGTTGCAGGGATCCGTTTCAGGGCTGGCGTGACAGCGGTTGCAAACAACAGTTATGCAACTGGCCCCTTGATGGAGATGAAGTTAATAGAGGCAAAGAAAGAGCCAGACAACGGGGAATGGCTTGGGGTTGGCTTGTTCTAAGAGCTAGAAAGTGCTCAGATCCGGCTCTTTTTGATTCACAAGTGAGCATCCTAATGAACAAAGTGAGTGTTCGGGGCAGGATTCCGTTTATCTTTCCATGGGTCCTTCTGTTTTTATCTCCCGGTGAGGTAATGCAGGGTTCTCGTTTTCCTTGAAACCTCTTCCTTTGCAAAGCCAGTTTAACCCAGTGAATCACTGGGAATCGGGATTCCTGTGTCACTGGTTCCGCCCTCGGAGCACAAGGCCCACGTCCACGTGTGTGCAGACGCGTTAGTTCCTCCGCTCACCATCTGGAAGGCATTTGGATGTTTCTGAGTGGGACTGCTGCTGCTCATTGCACAGGCAGCATCTGGTGTCTCAGAGACAGCAGAGGGAACACTGCTTGGGTACCGGGAAGGAAGCATCCCTGCCACGGGTAGGGACACGTTCCACTAGGGCAGGATGCTAACCCCATCCAACCTGGCCTTGGAGATGGGGCAATGCCAAGGTTGACCTCTTATCAAAGAAATCCTGGGCCTTTCCTGTTTCTCCAGTGACTCAGGGAATAACACACCCAGGAAGAGATGGGAGATACGAATTAAACCCATTGTTTGCTCCTCCTCACCTTTTCTCCCCTGTGCAATAGGAGGCAGAGGAGCCTCAAGCTGATTTGCTTCCAGTGGGAAAGGAGGAAGCAGATCTTGGAGGCTCCTACAGTGACGTGTGCTGCTGGGAGTCATGCAGGGAATTCACTCTCTTGTATGCATCAGAGAGCAAAGGGCCAACTGAAACCTTCACAATGCAGCACACTTGGGCTTTGTATATGAGTGCTCTGCTGCAAGGAGCTTTTGTATGGATTCCCAAAGGGGTTTGCCACAAGTAGCCTTGCTGTTGAGGATAACAAGCTGCCCATCTTAGCTGTTGAGTTCCCAAAGGCCACTGGTTTACACTCATCTTCCCTGAGCCAGTAACTCAGTGTGGCAGATGCCCCTTGATGTGCCTTAGGTGACAGGAGTGGAGCAGCTACCTCGGCATCGCTGCTTGCCTTTCCTGCTTGCTTCCTTCCTCCTGTCGCTGTGGGTTCTAAGGGAGCAAGGGAAAAGGGGAAGCTCACACGGCCTTCGCCATCCCTCAAGCCTGAAATAAAGCCCTGGGAGGTTAAATGTGATGTTTTGCTTAGCCTTCCCCTCTGGAGACATGAAAAGAGCTTGATCTATGGCATGGCTCAGCGGCTGTGATGGGTGCTTTGTTAAAGCCCATAGCAATGAAGCTGACACAAACCAGAGCCTTCCCCTGTGGCTTTCTGTAACCCTTTAAAGAGTGATGGATGCTTTGCAGCAGGAGTGGGGAGAAAGCAGTAGGTGAGGTCAAGCTGCACAACGTGATAAGCAGGACAATTAATAGCCCTTAATGGGAGCTAGCAAGCTCTTGGCTCCTTGGAAATGATACAGTTTATAATGCGGGACAGATTGCCTTGTAATGTATGGCTCTCATCAAAAGAGCCCTTGCAATAACGCTGCTCCAAGGAGGGGATCCTTTTCTCTCCATGCCTTGAGCACTTTCTCCTCCTGGTTTTGCCCCTCTTTGTGCTACAGGAGCGATGCAGCTTTGGGAAAGGCAAGTGAATTCCTTTCTTTGGCAAGCTGGCAGCTGAACTCTGGTGGCAACGGTGCCTTTTCCCGTCTGAATCCCCTGGATCAGCTGCACTGCATCAGGGCGCGATCTGGTTCTGTCTTTGGAGGTGGTGATGATGCAGGAAAGCCTGCCCCAGAGTGGGTTTGCAGGACCCATGGTCTGAGAAAGCCTCTCTTTTGTTTGCTGTCAGGAGGCTGAGCTGGATGTTAGGGGAGACAATCTAACAGCACGGAATGGATGGGTACCAGGGCACGTTTCTCCTCTCATCATC